TGAAATTCTATTTCCTTAACTCAAGAGAGCCATTCAACTCTAAGACAGCTCCTTATGTTAACTTTTTCCCTCATAATCCACAATAGCTTATTTAAATCTGCTGTAAATTCCACATTTTAGTTAATCTTGAATTCACTTGTCTCTGTGTGTTCAGCCTGCCTCTGATTATGTAATTGGGCATGCTGCAAAGATAGGTACCACTCCAGCTGGTCCCTCCACTGGGTACAAAGCAAAGCAATTTTTAACAGCATCATGTATATTTTTCATAAGGAAATAAGTTGACATTCCCATTTTATCATGTAGTTTCCCAGTCTAGGTTGGAAGTTGCTGTTCTCTGAGCAGTTTCATCTAGAAAACATTTGAAGAGCGGTGTCGAGGCCATCGGGGGGCCTCAGGCGTAGGTTCTCCTGCTCCTAATTGAGGGCTTGGGTTGGGTGGAAAATCAACAGCCACAGGTTATTGAAAACCTCCTTTTAGCAAGTAGTTTCAACTTCTTCTTTCACTGGACCTCTTCCAGTTTTGCTGACAAGTAGCAAAATGGACTGATTTTGAATTCTAGCTCCTTTTATTTCCTTGCCTTCTTTCTGGTGGAGGTGCTCATAAGCAAGAATGCAACTAAAAGACATGAAAACAGAAGGGAAGAATTGAGTGAAACTTGTTTAAAAACCTCTAAACAGATTTCTAATTCCAGCCAAGATGGAGCAGCCTTGTTCCTCCTAGTCTTCCTTCTCAGCAACTGAAAACCCTGGTCATGACACAAAAGGCAAACAGAAAAGTTCTGAAGGTTGAAAGAAGGTCTTGCACATGGACCTCAGGACATGGGCAGTGGCTTGTTGTTGAGTCCCCTAGGTTTTTTTTTTTTTGCCTTTCATGTATTCCAGAGAGTGGATTAGAAAGTCTGCTGCCAACAAATCAGAGAAAATAAATTCCAAAAATGCTTCTTAGCCAAACGATCAGGAAAAGGATGGCCTAAGAGAAACAGAAACTTTTTGATAATACCTACCCTGGTTCAGACAAATACCAGTAAAAAACCACAAACCCTCCCTCTCCGTGGTGCCAGCAGGGTCAAACTGGGGGTAGCCATCCACCCACCACCTAGTAAAACAGGTGGCTGTGCTCCTTGGAGGCAGAAGAACTGAACATCGCCGCAATCAACGGGGTGTGATTGACATTTCAGGAACACTTTTTGCAACAACAGAATACACATTCTTTTCAAGTGCCCACAGAGCATTCCCCAGTGTAAATCATGTTCTGAGTCATGAGACAAACCTCAGCATATTTAAAGGCATTCACATCATGCAGTGTATGTTTTCTAACCATAATGGAATCAAACTAAAAATCAGTGCAGGAAAACAACAGGAAAATCTCCAAATACTTGGAAATTGAACAATAAACTTTTAAATAATCCAGGAGTCCAAGAGGATGTTTCAAAGGAGATAAAATACATAATACTGGGTGAAAAAAAATGCAGCATATCAAAATGTTTGGAACACAGTTAAAGCAGTGCTGAAACAGAAAATTATAGCATAAAGTGCTTACATTAAAGAAAGAAGGGCTCTCAAATCTAAGCCTTAAAAGCAAGAAAAGGCAGATCAAAATAAGCCCAAACCAAGGAGATGTGAGGATATTGTAAAGACAAGAGCAGGAATAAATGAAATTGAAAACAAGAGAACAGCAGAGAAAAATTAATCAAATAAAAGGTTGGATTAAAAAAAATCAATTAAATTGATAAATCTTGGACAAGAAAACAAGAAAACACAAATTACCTGTGTCAGGAATTAAGTAGGAGTTATCATTATACATCCTGCACTCATTTAATGGAAAGTAAGGGAATAGTACAAACAGCTTTCTTTGCATGTATAAATTTAACGACCTAGGGAAAAAAGACCAGTTTCTTAAAGATCATAGATTATTAAAACATACCCCAAATGAATTAGATAATCTGCACATTCCATTAATGACTAAAGAAATTGAATTTGTAATTAGAGGTTCCCAAACAAGAAACCTCTGGGCCCAAATAATTTCACTGTAGAATTCTATAGTACATTTAAAGAAGAATTAAATACCAGTAGTACACAATCTCCTCTAGAAAACAGAAGAGGAGAGAACAGGTCCTGACTCATTTTGTAAAGCCATGATTGCCCTGATACCAAGCCAGGGAAATACAGCACACAAAGGGAAAGTAAAGAACAGAATCTCTCAAGAACATCGGCACAGAAATCTTGAACGAAATACTTGCACATCAAATCCAGCAGTGTATGACAGGAATTCTACACCACGGCCAAGTGTCATTTATTCTAGGCATATAAGGCTGGCTCAGTAATCAAAAATCAATACCAATGTCAATAAGCTAAATGAAAAAAAACCATATAAAATTGACATGTTATATCAATAGAGACACAAAAGACACCAGAGAAATACAATACTCATTCATGCTAAAAATGTTCAGCAGACTAAAAATAGATAATTTCTTTAACCTATAAAGAGAATCTACAAAAAATCTGTAGCTGTCATCATGTTTAATACTGAATGACTGAATCTTCCCCCCCAAATCAGGAATGAGACAGAGATGTCCGTCCACTCTCACCTTTCTTATTCTAGCCACTTCAGTAAAGCAAGAAAGAAAAGAAAGGCATATAGGAAGAAACATATTCCCGTTATTAGATGACACCATTATCTATGTAGAAAAATCTCAAAGAATCTACATAAAAAATCCTGAAACTAGTAAGTGAATTCAGCAAGGTTGTAGGATATGAGGCCATGAAAGTCAGTCGTATATCCATATAGTAATAGCAAACGTGGAAACTGGGATTAAAATAACACAGTAACAGTCAAAATCACTCCAAGAAAATGAAACATTTAAGCATAAACTTAATAAAACAGGCAAAGATCCTATGTGCTAAAAATTACCAGATACAGAAGAAAGAACTGAAAGATGTAAATAAGTGGGGAAATATATTATTTGATAAATTGGAAGACTCATCATAGGAAGACGCTGGTTCAAACTGATGTGTAGGTTTTAGATGTTTCCTGTCGGAATCCCAGAAGGATTTTTGTAGACATAGACAAACCTACTCTGAACTGTATACAAAAGGCACAGGTGTAAGTAGAGCTAATAAATAAAATTATCTTTGAGTGGGAGAGGGTGTAGCTCAAGTGGTAGAACACGTGGTTATTGTGCACAAGGTCCTGGGTTCAATCCCCAGTACCTCCTCCAAAAATAAATAAGTAAACCTAATTATGACCCCCCCAAAAATTAAAAAAAATCATCTTCATAAAGAAGAAAACAGTGGGAGGGAAGACTATACAATGATTACGTTTATTCTGTAAGCACAAGTCAGTGGGTTTTGGTGGCAGGAGAGGCATAAAGATCAGTGGAATAGAACAGTGAGTCCAGAAATAGGCCCACATGCACACCCATACATTTTTTAACAGGGACTCAAAAGCAAGTTAGTGGAAGAAAGATGATCTTTTCAACAGTGGTGATGGAGCAAATGAACTTTGACCTAAACCTCAGACATACATAAAAATTCACATAAAATGGACTTTAGAAGAACACATAGAACATCCTTAGGCTCTGGGGTGAGGGGAGTTCTTAGACTTCACGCCAAAAGCATGATTCATAAAAGGAAAAATATTGATAAATCGGACCTCACCAAAATTAAACCATTTGCTCTGCAAAAAGATTCTGTGAAGAAGATGGAAGGACAAGCTACATATGCAGCAAATATCTGCAAGCCATGTATTTGGCAGAAGACTTGGCTCTAGAGGATGTAAATTAGAAGTTAGAAAAGAAATAAGCCGTAAGATAAGCACGTGAAAAGATGTTCAATGTTTAAACACCTATCAGGATGGCTATAATTTTAAAAGTAAGTGACAGGATCCAATACTGGCTAGCACATATGGCCAACCGAGTCACTCATACTGTTCCTGAGTCCAAGCTCATACTGCTCACCGCACAACAGGCCAATAAACTGAGAGACAAGTTGTTGGGGCAAGAAAATAGCGATTTTATTTGGAAAGCTAGCAGACTGAGATGATGATGATGGACTAGTGTCCAAAGAACCATCTTCCCCAAGTCAGAATTCAGGCTCCTTTTATACTGAAAAGGGGAGGGAATGTGACTGGTTGTTGCAAACTTCCTGGTGTCGGAATCCTTTGTTCATCCTGCTGTCCACGTGGGTCAGGTCACGGTGTCCCTGCAAACCTCCAACAGGACAAATGTTCTCCTCTGTTCTGCTACATTTTATCTCTATATGAATGGAAATGCGTTACACCCTTAAAGGTCAGAGCCTTGAGAATGGGCTCTCCTGTCTTTTTCAGGCTCTAGGCAGCATTAGTGTACAAAAGTTGCAAAACCAGCTTGACTAAGCACAGGAAACAGAGCACAGGGCTAGAGCTAAAGAAACAGATCTAATAATGAAGTCAGGTTTGTTCTTTCCTTTTAGAATTCCCCACTGCCAGTGTCTACTCCACGATCTTGTGGGGAAAGGGGCGACAACTGTATTGGCTACTTCCTTCTGAACAGGGCCGTTGAGGGGGTGACCATGGCATGGAATTGATCAGCTTTGGGCAGGGAACTTTCCTTAGAATCTTTAGTCATTGGTACAATCCTCTTTCTTTATCTACAACTTCTTAAACCTGATGAAAATCCATTCGTACTTTGTTGAACTTGGGATTTTGGTTCCAGTTCCCAATACGTATCTGTTAATTTTACCTTTCCAGCTGGGCTGTAATTACACTAGATTCCTGTGCTGTTTATTTGGATAAGATTAACAAATAGGTTAGCCCTTCTCCAGCTACAATGAAATTATAATCTCAGTGCTTGTCTTTTTGAAAGAGCAGCCCTAATTGTAAGGGTTCACAATCCCGTTGCTCCCCCGGGCCTCTCAGGAGTTGGGTCATTTGCTGATGACGGTGGTGCTGCTTTAGAACAAGTGTGATGGATCCATAGCTTTACCCCAGCCAACCTGACAGATGAGGGGATGGTAGGTAATACCACGTGTGGTCCTGTCCACTTTGCAGTCAGCTGATGCTCAGGTCTTAAGCAGGACTTGGTCTCTGAGTCAGAAAGGATGTCAGGCTACTTCAGTTGGACAGGCACACCTGTTGGAGGCAAACTCATGAACAGAGGTTAGTAGGGTGCCCAAATTTTAACATAATTGGCAACTGCTAGGTCTTTTTTAGCATTTACAGATTTTCCCGCCTGGGGAAGACACCTGAAATGGCCTACCATTCAGTATTTCAAAGGGGCTTAATTTTAGCCTGCTTCTGGGAGCCACTCTGATACGTCACAGGGCAACTGGCAAGGTCTAATCCCAAGTTAAGTTAGTCTCTGGCCATATTTGAGCAATACTCCTCTTTAAGGTATGATTCGTTTTCTTGGTTTTCCCTGTTGATTGTGGTCTCTGGGATGAATGTAGTTTCCAGTTAACTTGCACTACTTCAGACCCTTGCTAGGCTCTGCTGGAGACAAAGGCGGGCCTTTTGTCGCTCTGGAGGGTGTCAGGCACCCCGCAGATCGGGGGTGATTTCCCTAAGGAGGGCCTGAACCGTCTGGGAGGCTCTTGCCGTCTGGGTGGGATATGCCTCCACCTGTCCTGAAAAAGTGTCCACACCTGAAATTTCCTGCAGCTCAAGGCGTTTGAGTAAACTCTATTTGCCCCTCCTCTGCAAGGCAGGCTCCTCTGTGTGGCGTCCCCATCTGGGGAGGCCTGACGGCAGTCTTTGGGTTATTTTTAGCACAAATCATGCGACTCTGAGCGACTGGCTGGATGGTCTTATGTGGGTTAGGCCCTACTGTATACTTCTGGATCCGTTGTACGGTGGCAGCTCTCCTGTAACGGGTCCTGGTATGAACTTGCCGCAGCATGGTGCCCAGGAGAGCCTCGGGGAGCAAGGCAGGTCCTAGTGCACTGCGTTTCCAGCCAGGTGAGCTGTGATCAAGAGTGAAGCCCCACTCTTTGCCTTCTCTCTGTCCTTTTCTGAATACACCAGCTGGTGTCATGACAAGTCAGTCTGTGGGAAAAGTGATCCTCTCATGACTTGGTGTTTGCCCTGGCAAATCATCCGCCTACTGGAGTAAAAGTCCTTCAGCCAATGTTAAGTTCCCAAGGTCTCTAGCCTTGGAATTCCCCAAACAAGGTAGGGGAATTCTTCAATTCTTGAGACAGGGCCGTCCAAGCCGGCCGGCCTGTGTCTCCGGATCCTGCTATTCAGAAGCAAACAGTTGCTGTGATTCTTCTGCAATAGGAATGCAGGGAAAAAAGTATCTTTTCAAGCCCCAAACTGAGAAACAGCCATATTCTCCTGGCATCGTTGTGAGCATAGGGTGTCGTTTAGGCACTGAAGAGTGTAAGTCGTGGACAACTTCATTAATAGCCCTCAAGTCTTGGACAGAGCGGTCTTCTGCTGAGTTCGGCTTTTTGATCAGAACAGGGGTCGTAGACGGGGAGCGACAAGGTGTAGTCAGTCCTGGTTTCAAAAAATTTTCGAGAATTGGTGGAATTCCCTTTTGGGCCTCTTGCCTCAGAGGATACTATTTTAGATTAAGTGTCCTAACATCCTTTTTTATTGGGTTTTGGCCATGTGTTTTTGGCCTTCCCTGGCGTGCCATCCGCCCGCACTTCTGGCCTCACTTTTCCTAGACCTCCCGGGAGGAGGAGCGCCGTCTCCTGTTCTGCGGTTTCCATGGGCGCCGACTGTAGACTTAAGCGTGTTCTGGTGGGACCCTGATGTCAGGCTGCTCTGATGAAGAAGTTATCTGAGCATTCAGCTGGTGAAGGACAGTCCCCAAAGAGCAGCTGGGCACCGAGGCAGATGTGCGAAGCTGTGCTTCAGGTTGAGGCCCCCAGTCGGCACTGCGGAGGTGGTAAGAAGGAATGCTTTCGTATTTCTCCGGAGAGTCTTGTGATCAGGGTGGTCTGGCATGTTTTCCATGCCACTTCGGTGTTTACCACAGAGTATGTTTTCCCCGCATCCATCAGAAGGTCAGTCAGCTCCTTCCCACTGTCCATTTTACCCAGAGTGTCTGTGGGGAAATTGGAATTGGGGGCTCAAGTCCAAGGGAGCCCCCAGGCCTCTTTATTCATAATCAGTGATTATTCATAATCAGTGTTCCTCTCTTTCTACCATGTGAGAGGCTCCAGTCTTTCTTTTATTATTTTCCTAGATCAGACTCATCATTAGGTAAAGTGTACACGCTGAGGGGTACCCACAATAGTCCTGTGTGCCCGGAAAAATAAATGGCACCTCGTAGGCAAAGGATTGATGCAAAAAGCCACCTAAAGGAGGCCCTAACGTTAGTCCCAGGCCAGGAAAAAGTCTCAAGACATTCCAATACTTGAGCCACATTATTTGGAAAAGCTTTGCAAGGATGGAAGGTACAATTACTGCTGCTTCCATTACTCTCGCTAGAAAACACATAGCAGTAAACACTGGTCCTGCCGAAACTGGGTCCAGTACACCAAAGAGAACTGTAACTCCTCCTGAGACACACATAGATTTTGCTACAAACATAAATTTTGCTCCAATACGTACAAGGTATTTTCCAAATACCAAAGATTCCAGAAGTTAAAAAACAAACAAACAAAACCCCATAATGTCCAAAGATTATACCAGTAACTGTATTGCTGGCTTCTTTCTTCTCAGCCTCCTTGGAAAAAAGGGTCCAAGGATGGAATAGCGCATCAGGGAACCTAAGTCAATGGGAGCTGCTGGCATCAGTGCAAACCTCTGTTCTCTTGAAAGCTGCCTGGGTGTCTCCCTTGCGTTTCCTGGAGGGTCATCACCTCTTGATTTGCAAGACTGGGGCAGATCCTAAAAGCATTTAGCATCCTGCTGTGACCAAGTCTCCAAAAACCAGAAGCCACTTCCTTACATGTGGCATCTTGTCACAGAGCAGGCCCAGTGGGGGTGAGGAGCCAGTGCAGGACAGGGCCAAGCCCGGGAAGGCCAGTCCCGCATATCCAGCTGGTAAATTAAACTCTGAAACAGAGAGGGGCGGCGTAGGACCAAGGAAGCCGAAGCATGAGCCGAGTGGGGTGATGATGAAGGACACGAGGACCACCTTGGACAGAGCAATGAGTTTCCAGAATGAGCGTTTTCCTTGTTGTTTAACATTTTAAAAGCAGTATCTGCCAGATGAGACAGGTTCATTCCAAATGCACTGTCTAATTTTACCGTTCTAGCGTTTTCAGGAGCCTTGGGATCTGCCAAAGACCTGATAAATCCTTTCCAAAACTCGGAATTTTGGGTTTTGCCGAATTTAATTTTGTTAAATTCAGCCTGCTGGCTGTTTGCACGTATGGGCTAATGGTGTAGGGGAAATTGTTTTGTGCCTAAAGTGTTTCCTGGTCCAAACTGGGTGCCCTGTCAGGTCTCAGATGGTAACACCAAGGTCCCTGGCCCCAGGAACTAACACAGGATTTTCTAATTGATCCCTGTGAGGAGGGGGAGCCAGGCCAACCACTTCCCGAGCCCCGGTGTTGGGCACTGGGACAGCTGGCTCAGCTGGACAAGTGAGGATTTGCAGTAACATATCCTAACTCCGGTTTTTCTTATTTTCCCTGATGTAATGGCACAAATGCTTGCACGTAGGGGATTTCACCTTTCTTATCTGCTTTGTCACAAAATATCTATAATTGCAGGATTGTTTAGAGCCCTTCCAAGGTCACCATTCCTCAGCGTTTTATTGTAAAACTATAAATAGCAATGGATCCTCTCTAACCATTTTGCCTTGGCATCAACCAGCCGGGCTGAACCCTGGGCTGGGGCTTTTGATGATTTTAGGAACTAAGTGCAGCCTTTCTGTCACGTTCTCAGAAAAGAACAGGGGTGTGTGTGTGTGTGTTCCTTTCCTTCATCTGACATTAGTAAAAGTTTTAAATATCACGAAACTGTCTTCACTGCAAATGGAGAAATGATACCAAAACAAATGAAATGAAAAACCCGGAGGACAAAGAGAAAACCCTAAATAAGCCCTCAAGCATGGTCTTGGGGGTTCACATACACCAATACCATGATTAACACAGCAAGAGTGGCGGTATGTGGAGATGACCTGCAGCCCCCTGCGGAGGCCTGGGCAGGTCCCGTGGCCACACATTGTCCATCTTCCTCTTAGGCGTGGCTGCATAGCTGTAATCAGACCACTTGTCCAAAATGCGCCTCAGAGGACTTTCTTTAGGGATAGTTGAAACACTCCCTATTCTTTAAAGACAGAAACGCAAGGCAAACAAAACACAAATGGTGCACATACACGCTAGCATCCAAAGAAACAAAGGAACCGCTTCACAAATCTGGCATGTCCAGCAATTATTTCCTCTCTCCTATAGAGTACCTCACTCAAATACAGAACAAACTGACTTACTCTGGAGGGGAAAAAAGCCCCAAAGGGAGAGGAATACAATTTCTGGCTGTGCACAGCAGAGCGACTGACTCTGTGTACGGAGCCCGGAGGCTCCCAGATGCTGACTCCTTGCTCCAGCTGCAAGCGCTGGGGCAGCCGGGGCCGCTCTGCGGAGTTCTGAAGGGCGGATACTCAGGACAGGTGGCCCCAACAGCTGCTGGAGCCTTACCCCAAGTTCCCCAAGGGGCCGGCTGGCCACGAGCAGCACGACAGCGCTCCGGGCCAGCTCACCAAAATTTGTTACAAAGTCCAAGCTTGTGTTGCTGGCTGCACAAAAGGGCAGTAAATCGAGAGACGAGTTGTTTGGGTGAGGACCAGTGACTTTATTTGGAAAGCTAGCAGATGGAGAAGATGATGGACTAGTGTCCAAAGAACCATCTTACCTATCAAAATTCAGGCTTCTTTTATACTGAAAAGGGGAGGGGGTGAGACTGGTTGTTGCAAACTTCTTGGTGCCTGAATCCTTTGTTCTTGCTGCTGTCCAGGTAGGTCAGGTCGTGATGTCCCTGTAAACCTCCAACAGGATAAAAGTTCTTCTCTGTTCTGCAACTTTTTATCTCTACATGAATGGAAACATGTTATACCCTTAAAGGTCAGAGCCTTG